TATTCTATTGCAATTGAAGCCCTTTTACACAAACTGCACTCTGTTTTAACTGGTGTTATTCTTCCAGGTATCCCAAATCATCCAGGTTTAGTGGTCTCTGCTTATGCTGATGATATAAACATTTGTGTCAGAAATCAGAATAATGTAAAGGGTCTTCAATGCTGTTCGGAGCTTTATGAAAAGGTGGTAGGGTGTCATGGAGAGAGTGTGTATCAGACTCTCCAAATAGAAATACTGCTACCTTACAGGGGAAGGCTTTTGGTGGTAAATAACTTGGTTGCTTCGGCACTCTGGCATAAACTGACTGTGTTAACACCACCGACATCTCTTATTCAACGTCTTTGAAGGACTCTAGTGGATTTTTTCTGGTCTGGACGTCACTGGGTGAGAGCTGCTGCCCTGTACTTACCAGTGGCGGAGGGAGGACAAGGACTCATAGACATCACCTCACGGATTGCAACTTTCAGGCTTCAAACAGCACAGAAACTGTTATATGGTGCTGGATTACCTTGGTTGGGCACGGCACGTCTTCTTTTAAGGAAATCAGGATGTATTGATATGATAAACATCTCTTTTTGTTAAAACAAGCATCCTTGGACTTAACTGGTCTTACTCCATTTTACCAGTTCTCACAGATTCTCACTTTTGAGAGGACGGCTGATACATCACCAGGGATGTGGATCTTTGAAGAACTTCTGTTTGAAAACAATTTCATCTCCTCACAGCTGTTGTTACTGGTACTTCAAGATCTAAGATTAGAGAAGCCGGATGTGTGAAGTTGGGTCCTCTGATGAAGTTATCTGTGTCAAACCTAACTGTCTTGATGTGCGATCCAACAGGCTTGTGTTAAGCATGAAAGAAGGAGCCTGTGCTTCTCTACCAGACCATGTCAGAGCATTTTCTGCTGATAGTACTCGTTTTGACCAATGGGATGACGAGTATGAATATGTGTTTCCCTCCATTATTGTCTGCCCTGCAGTGGATCAATGGTGTGATGAGCCAGAAAAGCTGTTGTCCTTCCAAGTTTCACCACTAGATCATTTTAAATTTGTGTGAAGGTTCTGAATTTACATTCTTTGGCAGTGGTGAGGGTGTCAGAGTGGACTGAGGTTTTTGACTCCAGCTTTACCCCAAGAGGCTGTTGGTGGTCCCTGTACAAACCCTCTATTAAAAAAAGGGTGGATGACCTCCAGTGGAGGATTGTACATGGGGCCATAGCTACAGAAAGGTATCTGGCACACCTTAACCCCAGCACTAGTGTTAACCTTCCTTTTTGTCTGCAGCAGGAAGCGTTGCATCATGTTTTTGTTGAATGTTTAAGATTGAATCCTCTTTTTGTTCTTTTGTATCGTTTTTTTAGTGGTGTTAGTGTAGAGTTCTCTAGCTGTATTTTTATTTATGGTCCATGGTATTGTACAAAGAAAACATTTGTTCATATGTTTTTAAATTTCATTTCTGGAATGTCAAAACTAGCAATATGGATATCAAGGGGAAAAAATGAATGGTCATCAAACAGAAGATGCTTTTGTTTTATTTTGAGTATAATTTGAGTTTTTTAAGTTGACAAAGAGCATAGATGTTTTTGTAATTAAATGGGGCGTTAATGGAGTTTTGTGTTCATTGAAGAATCTTTAGTTTTTACTTTTTGATGTTTTTATTTTGTTAACACTATTTTGTTATATTGATTGCTGGATTGTTAATAAAGGCAATTTTAAACTCAAGATTCTTTCTTTTGTTCTTTCTTTCTTTCTTTCTTTCTTTCTTAATTTCTTCCTTCTTTTTTTCCCTTGTGTTCCTGTTACTTTACTATTTTTGTATACTGTGTTGTTTTGTTGAATTGAGATTGTATTTGCTATAAAATGTATTCACACTATTCATTTAGAGTGTTAGCTTTATACTAATAGTCATTTTATCAGCAAAACACTGTGGTTGGAGCAGGTAACGATGTAATTCTAATGCAGGAACAAATAAACAAAAAGAGCCTGATGATGTAAACAGTGATATTTTCTATAGGGCCACAACTGAAAGCATCATCTGTCTTAATGTGGTATGAGGGCTGCACCGCACAGGAGAAGATGGACCTACCATGGGTCTTGAGAACATCTGCTACATCTGGACTCGGTTTATGCTAAAGCAATCCAGAAACAGGACAGATACATCACTACAGATCCTGCACACCTGGGCAATGCACTGTTTGCTCTACTTCCATCAGTAAAACTATACAGGAACATTACATCGAAAACAAATAGGCTCGAATAGTTTAATTTCCAAAGCTATAAAAGTAACCGTCCCCTGCAGGCAAACACTAAACATCCCTGTTAAAAATCATTGAAACCTTCAGCCAACTTCATAGACAGCTTTAGCACAAGCTGCACATAATGTTGATACTACATCCTACATTCCATGCACATTTTTTTTTTTTTCTTATTTACATTATAAGTCTTTTCAAAAGACAATCTTTTTTTTCTTTTTGTATAAGATTTGTAATTGATGATCTATAGTGATTAAAATCAGGTAAGAATGTATGCCTTTGCGTACAAATTAGAAATTATGTGATTTTAGTATGCCTTTGCACAACCTAAATTTCCACACCATTTACCTAGAAAAGAAATATAATTACAGACAGAAAAACATGTTGGACAAATGTCAGTGCATACTGGACGATTCACAATTATAAACATCTTCAGACATCATGTGATTCAAACCCTAAATTTCATTACAGTCAACATATTTTTAGAAACTCTTGGAAACAAATTGGAAACAGCTGTTTTCTATGTTTAAATATTGTGCTGCGTTGTAAGCTTGCAATATGTGCCATACACTTCCACCTATAGTCAGCCAGAATGTTAGGAACTAGGGGAAACGCCAGATGGAATATAAAAGCTGTAAATGACAAACTGAAAGAATAAGGTCTCAGATATAAGGGGCTGAAATGAGTCTCCTGTGTAGAGAATGAGGAGCATCAACTCCTGACAGTCCTGGCAACTGATCAAGACTTCTCCTGATAAAGTGCTTCCCAAGCACCTATACTTCTTATCTGGCCTGGGAACAGTTGGAATTTCTGTGAATAAACTGATCAGTGCTGCTGGGTAGAGGAACAGGATCAGAGCTTCCCTCCTGAACCCATTACCCCATCACTTAATCTCATATAAGCAGAGGACAGTGAAAATCTTTGGTGCTTTATTTCTAAATATGAATAAGACGTGACGTTACAGTCATTTTCATGGTATTAATCAATTTAATATTCACAGGGCTGAGGCAACTCTAGATTTCCTGATTGAAAGAGTTTGTGGTTTCCTGACAGGAAAATATAGACTGGAATCAGCTGAGTTGACATTTCTGTTTCTTTTTTTTTTTTCTCGATGATTAACTGATTTATACATTTTACCGTTGTGTTATATTACACTGTACTATAGCTAGAACAGATTGTGAACTTTGAATTTAAAGGTTAAAAATCCAAAATCTAACACATCGGAATTCAAATCTTTCAATATAATTGAAATATTTCTGTATACAGTAATTGTATTGCTCTGTGGAATTTTGATCTGTATGTCCTCATAACAGGATACCAAGTGGACCTATCATACTGTAAGATGTTATGTCATATAATTAAAACTATATAAATAAATAAACAAATAACTATTGCATCTACACTGATCAAGATATGCAATAATTATACAATAATTGGGTTTTTTCTTTTAAGCTTGCCTTTTTAAACTGTGTTAAAGCAGCTTGTATTCCTGTTACATGATCATGAGCAGAAATGTGGTTACGGCGCTTTGGCACAGTAACCCAGTAGACTAATAAAGAAAATAAATGCTGATTATTTGCAGTGGTGTCAAAAGTGCACACATTTGTTACTTAAGTAGAAGTATTGATACTGCAGTGAAATAAACATTTATAAACATTAAACCGAAGCCAAGAGTAACAAGTAACGTTTGTTTTAAAAATGTAAGGAATAGGAAGTAAAGATACTTCTGTAGAAATCGCAATGAGTAGAAGTCAGAAGTAGAAAGAAAAATAAGCAATGGAGTAAAGTATAGATACCTAAAAGGTGTATTTAAGTACAGTAACAAAGTATTTGTACTTCGTTACTTACTACCTCTGATTATTAATATTCTTAAGTTACGTAGCTCAAGATAACATAGTGCTTGTTCCTTTGTGAAAGTGGATGGTAGTTTTTGCTCATCAGAAAACGGATGTTCTGAAAAGAACAATCTTACTCGGTTGGTCTATTTTTTCAGTACCATACTAAACCCTCAACAGTTGTTCTGGTTGCTTGGCTCTGATCTCCCCTTCTTTTCACTGATAACTAACAAACAACATTTAAGAGTATGTGATTAATGAATTATTTATTCTTTAGGAACAGAGTCAAAGAACATGATAAAGCAGATATATATAATTAGCTGTCTTCATGAATAATAATGCTTAAGAGCACGTGCTTGTGAGGAGTTAATGTCTTCCTTGCTTACTCTTGTTGTTCCAGTTTTAAGTTTTAAGTCCAGAGACTTCCCCATTAAGTTTTAGTGAAAATATTTAGTTGTTTTTAATGTCATCTTTATGTCATGTGCCCTGCGATGGACTGGCGACCTGTCCAGGGTGAACCCTGCCTCGCGCCCTTAGACAGCTGGAGATAGGCAGCAGCTCCCCTCGTGATAAGCCTGACAGAAAAATGGATGGATGGATTAATGTCATCTTACAGTTAAATAATATTTCAATAGAAACATCTGTGTTATGAGTAGTCACAAAAAGCAGATGAGTCTTTAACTCCTCCCTCTAGCTCACATATTTGCATTTCAGGTTTGTTTGTCTCCATTTCCATTTGTATGACTTAAACATTTCAGTATGTTTTACTGTTCTGGTTATATGGGTTTATTATAACCAGGAATAAATATTCCAAACTGTTATTGACCTTTGGCAACTGATGATATTGTCTTTGTGAGTCAATACATGTGTATGGAGCTATTTTAACCGCGGACATATCGCTTTTTTTCCCACAGAGATCTGTCCAAGAACCACATCTCCTCCCTTGATACCAGCCTGCTAGATCGTCTAACTGGGCTCCGAACCCTGTAAGTAAACACTCCTTCCTGTAATAATCTTTTTGACTTATTTATGCATTTATTATTGTGATGAAACACAAATTCCTTTACACTCCTGCTCAAATATGACCGAGAAGTCCACCGTGCAAATTAATTATCAGATCTAGAAATCACAGGTATTTGTTAAAACATCTGGTGCTCTACTATCAGTTAATTTATTTTATGTGAAAACAACATTGCAACATGTTGTAATGCAGCTTAAAAAGCGACACAAAAAAGGACTCCCAGCTTTGACAAATGTCTGCTATTGTGAGAACATTAAAGTTTCTTATGCAGCCACAGTAAATAGGAAAAAGGAATGGGACCAAAGCGCTCTGTTCAATGAATTTCACCAGAAATCAGGTACATCAGTGCTCTGCTCTGAACGGAATAATTAAGATGGAACAATGTCATGGTGAATGCAAACATCTCACTTATTTGAAAAAAATCTGCTAGTGTCTAAATAGCTCGCTGTATGTTCCCAAACACTAATAATCACATAAAGCAAAAGAATCTCCATTTCGTTCACTTAGATGCTAATGTCGCTTTCAGGTGCTGGTGGAAAAAAAATTATTTTGTGATATCTAAACATTCTGTCAGAATTTGGTTGAGGTTTGAGGACCCAAATGCAGAGGCAGTGAGGCAGAGGTGAGTTTCTTGATGATTTAAGTGAAAACAAACAACTGAGGCAGGAGTCCAAAAATCCAAAAATCAAGCATGAAAAAAGTCCAAACAAAACAGAAACCATGGAGACATCAGGGGGGAAACTATCACGAGGAGGAAGACTCAGAGAGATGGAGTTTGAGGAAGTTAGGCGAGGAACCAGCACCGAAGAACTGCACAGAGAGAGTATTTATGGGAGACTGAAACAAAGAGAGGACTAACGAGCAGATTGGGAGCAGGTGTGAACAGAGCAGAGACAGGAAAGGAGCTAGGGAAAAAGGAGAACACAAGAGGGCAGCAGAGAGCGACAAATAAAAATCTGAAAATAACCAGAAAACACAACAAAATAAGAATTAAACCTCTAAAACTAGAAAACATGGAGCAAAGTAAAACTGAATACTTTAAAGAAAACGTAAAAGAACCAGAACTGTGACACATTCTAAAGTGAATTCAACATGTTTTATTCTCAAATTTGGAGACAATCTTAAACATAAATAAAACTAAATCTCCACATTTTACCTTTTTTAAGTGATTATAAATGTTCATGTAAGCTATTTTTAAGGCATTTGGCATCCTTACTTGTTCCACCTTATTTTGTAAACAAAGGTATCTAACTAAATATCCGTACTTTTGTTTTCTTTTAGGTTTAGAACAAAATCAAATCTAATTAATTTGAGAAATTGAATATATTTTTGTTCACTAATGATGGAAGTAGAAAAAAATCCTAATTTTTTTATTTTATCTTGATTGAAGCATAACTAAATTTATACTGAAGCAAGACTTTAAAACTAGTTTAGGTACTGCACCTGCCTTTTCTATTAAGTTATACCAAGGGTTTTTATCATCACTGTTGCCTCACTTATTGATAAGCCTAGGGACAATATATTCTGAAATTATAAATAAAGCGATTTGTTTGGGGTTTTTTTGCTTTTAGTAGTTTCAGCTGATCAGGGGTTAAACTGATATGTATGCAATAATTTTAAATCATACATATGGTTTTAAAAATAAAAGTTTAAAACCATATGTATATAGCATATATAAATCCCTCCACATCAAAATTATGTGCTTCTCTTTCATGGATTATTACCTAAAATTCTAAAAATAATAGGAAATAAAGGTGTACAAAACAAATAAAGTTGACCATAATTTTCCAATCTATGCTAGCTAGTTATTTTACAAATCTTTATGTTATTTACATTAATCAGCAATATTCTTTTGATCAGAGCAACCACAAAACAGGTTTAAATCAGAGGTAAACAGAATTTCCCTCAATTTTTCTGAAGACATTTTAACACCTACCCAGGAGTCTTTGTCATTTCTGTTGGTTTGCACCAGAGGAATATGCAATTGGGACTAATTGGGATGCAGTTGGAACTTCCAAATATAGATTTTTTTTTTATGTGAGCTCCCACAAACACTCCTGGATAGGTGTTGAAATGTCTTCGGGAAAAACGTGCAAAAGTTCAGTAGGTATGATAATATTATTACCATTTATTTAGCAGTTTAGACACGTCGTACACTGTAATAAAACGTACGGCTTTATTTTATGGCATCATATTGTTTTTTTTAACGGTGGATGACATTGTGGGTCAGATCCAGCTTACAGGCTTTAATTTGACACATAATCTTTAAATGTTTAAAATGTCAACTTCCTCTTTGTATTGTTTAGTTTAAGATCTTGATAGAATGAAACGAAAGTTACGCATGTAACTACAGTTCTATGAATCCCGGATGACCGCCAGAGGGCGGTGCTGAAAGCACTGAATGTTCCCTTCGGGCATGCGCAGTTCGAGTAATTATACCAACAGAGTCACACCTGTGACACCGGATGACCACTCAGAAGCTATATAGCCTGGTGTCATCCTTTGCTCTGCTCCTACAGAATCTTCTCGCAAACGCAAGGATTCTGGGTGACAGAGAAGCTCTAGCGGTCATCCGGGATTCATTGAACCGTAGTTACATACGTAACTTTCGTTCTATTTCATCCCTACTGACCACCAGAGGGCGGTGCTGAAAGCACTGAATGACTAATGCCAACAATGTCACAAGGAATCCTGAGCACATACCTCACTGAGGAGGCCCAGCAGAACCTTGTAAAAGGACCTGACCTCAGGGATGAGGGGCAGCCACATTGACACTGTAGAACCTGGTGAAGGTGGTTGGGGAAGCCCATGAAGCAGCAGCACATATTGCTTCCAGCGGAACCCCTCTCAAAGCCGCCCAGGAAGCGGTGACGCTCCTGCTGGAATGTGCTCTCACACCGACTGGCAGGGAGCAGTGACCTGCAGCGTAGGCGTGGCAGATGACACTCACAATCCAATGGGACAGACGCTGTTTAGAAAGAGGACAGCCTAACCTTGGACCCCCATAGCACGTCTCAGATTGGCGGTGGCTGCAATGTACGCCTCCAACGCTCTTACTGGGCACAAAAACTCAGACTCATTCTCAGTTGCACCAGGCTGAGGCTGAAACCGAGCCAGTCGCAATGGCTTGTTACGGTGAAAAGGAGACAACACCTTAGGCACAAATGCAGTATTAGGCCACAGGGTAACACCAGAGCCATCTGGATCCCACCTGATACACCTAGGGCTGACAGAGAGAGCATGTAGCTCGCTGACCCTCTTAGCTGAGATGATAGCCATCAGGAAAGCAGTCTTGCAGGAAAGCCACTTGAGTTCTGCTTGTGCCAAAGGCTCAAATGGAGGGTGGCACAGAGCTGTGAGAACAAATGGCAGATCCCAATCTGGGGCTCGTGGAGCCGGCCGCTGGCATAACCTACGAGCACCATGCAGAAAGAGTGAAACCAGTTCATGGCGCCCCACTGTACGGTTGTCGACAGATCGGTGAAGACATGAAATTGCTGCAACATGCACCTTAAGGGTCGAAGGAGAGCGGCCCTTATCAAGGAGAGACTGGAGGAACTTCAAGATAGTGGGCACCGAGCAGGAAACCGGATTCTCATTGTGGGCAGAGCACCACTGAGAAAAGAGGTTTGGGGTGCCATATCTGTCCTCCCAACTGAGACAGCAGATCCCTTCTTGCTGGAAGACGCCATGGAGTACCGTGACACAGACTCCAAAGCAGCGGGAACCACGGCTGCGCTGGCAAGAAGGGAGCTACCAGCAACACTCTGTGGCCCTGCTCGAGAACCCTTCGTAGAGTTGGCCAAATCATCGAGAGGGGTGGAAAAGCATAAAGGAGAACCTGCGGGCATGGATGAGCCAGTGCGTCCTGGCCCAGTGCACCCGCCATCCCGGTTAGGGAATACCATTGGGGGCAATGGCAGATCTGGCGGTCAGTATGGGCACAGATGCCGTGGTCCCACCACGGCGCTTAGAACGCTTGGGGGGAACCACCTGCCCAGAGGGCGGAAGGTCCAAGCCCTCCTGGGGGCATGACTGGGCCAACCGAGCAAACCCTCACTGCATGGGACATAAAGCTGCAGTTCATGCAGGGGTTCTCAGACAGCGCCTCCAAAAGGTGCTCACGTCCAAGGCAGGTAGGGCACAGGTCGTGGCCATCCTCTGCCTGCAGGGCAGCCCCACAATCCATGCAGCTGTGAGAGCCATCCATGTTGAAGGCCGACAAGGCTTAAAGAACAGAAAATTATCTAAAATCGGGAGAGGGGGCGCAAACGCAGCCGTCACCAATTATAGCAGATAAACAAAAGACACTGCGAGCACAAGGCAGCCGATACTGGGAAAAAGCTAACAATGTTAGCTGTATGGTAACTTAAGTTGGGAATAGGAGCAAAAAACGCTGCCGTCACCAATTAAGAGAGCAGACTAACGAAAAGGCTGTAAAAAAGGTTGATATTGGGAGAGGGGGCGAAAAACGCTGCCGTCACCATTTATAACAGAGCAGACCGACGAAAAAGGCTGCAAACAAACCAAAAAGGGCTAACAACTTTAGCCGTCTCCAACTTCGGCAAGCGAAGTTGACTACACTTGGTTGGGAGAGGGAGAAAAAACCGCTGCCGTCAGTAATTATAAGAGCGCAGACCGGTGAAAAAAGGGCTGCAAAAGTAGAGCATATACTAGGAGACGGGGCGAAAACTGCTGCCGTCACCAGGTATAACACCGACAAACTAAAGAAGCTAACTACATTAGCCCTATATAACTTCGGCAATGAAGTTGTTCACACTGGGAGTAGGGGCGAAATCGCTGCCGTCACCAGTTCAAAACAAAACGGCACGAAGCTGTAGGTAAAATTGTAAGAAAAAGCCGGGAAAGGGGGCACGGACGCTACCATCACCAGCAAACAAACTCTCTTACCTTCCATAATCTTCAGAATCGACCTGTTGCAGCCCTGGGAGGGCGGAGAATAACCGCAGCTCCAGTTAGCAAGAGACAGGGGCTTTAAACAACGGGGAAGCTAGCGAACCGCTTGCAAGAATAAAAAAGGAGCAGAGCAAAGGATGACACCAGGCTATATAGCTTCTGAGTGGTCATTCGGTGTCACAGGTGTGACTCTGTTGGTATAATTACTCGAACTGCGCATGCCCGAAGGGAACATTCAGTGCTTTCAGCACCGCCCTCTGGCGGTCAGTAGGGATGAAATATAACAGTATTTTGGTACCGGTAGCTGTATGCCGGTTTTATATACCCTCTCTGAATATTGAACATTATGATTTATTTTCATTTTAAGATTTTTCATAATAGAGTTTCTGGTTGTATAAATGAATAAAGGTTGTGGTTTACCTTTACCTGTACCTTTACTGTTTATATTGTTATATTTCAGTTGTACTTGACTTCCAAGGTATATTGGAAATATTGTGGTCATTTTCTTTAAGTCATCCTGAAAATTTATTTCAGATGGACATTTCTTTCTTGTCTTCTTGGTTCCTTTTTGCATTGTGTGGCTAAAACATGACTAAATTATATGTTTCAGAAGGCAAAAAGATGCTGAAGACCTTAAAAAGAAATTCTGGTTTAGAAATAAGAAGCTAAAAAATGAGGGATGGCTCAAGTACTGAAGGTTTTATCAATCCCTGTGAGAACCTTCCAATGTAAACATGGTATCTCCTTCTCAGGTACCTACAAGGAAACCGGATCAATGTTTTCCCCAGAGGTGTGTTCTGTTGTGGGCCACTGTCAGTTCTGTGAGTATTGAGTTAAATTGGAGGGGGGGGTATGAAGCTGTCAGTCGCAGGATTGAAATGAGAAGAGGATGAGGAAGATAAAAATAGTGGAGAGGAAGAAAAATCTTGGTTTAGTCTGGATTTAAGTAGGCTGAAATCCCAGAGGTCTGTTAGCGGGACCACAGAGCTTTAAAACAGCCTCACATAGTGCTCACACATGCTAATCACGCTGCGATTAAGTTCAATTACAACCTACTGCTCCAGGCTCCCACTCCTTCCCTCTTTTCATCTTTCCATCTTTTTCATGCATTACCTTTCTTTTTCCACTCATTGAATGGACATTTAAGCACATGTTTGTGTGTGTATGTGTGTGTGTGCATGTGTGTGCGTGATGAGGTTGAGCTCTGATGGTTTCCATCAGTTCCATCCAAACCACCACACAACGAGCCCATTATTCAGCTTTTAGGAGGAGAGAGGAGAGAAGTGAGTGCAGAGGAAAGGAGAGACAGGACAGAATGTAGGATGTTTTACACTGATAGATGAAGAGAGAACTCTTTAGCATAGTTTTAAAAATTTTGTGTGTTTTCTTGATAATGCCGTCTGCCATTTCTGTCTAAAGACAATGATAATTTCCTCTTTCAAGCAAAAGAAAATCTAAAACTTTTAATAACTATAAACTGAAATGAATCAGGACAAAGTATTTGAGTCATTGATCATAGGACTACTTTCATTTTTTTCATTCTTGAGAAACCTACACATCACTGATCTTGTGAAAATGACAATGTGACAGTAATTAAGCAGTGCAATTAAAAAGAGAGAGAAGGCAACGTTTTGTTCTAATGTCAAAAGTGATTTCTCTGTTCTTGCCTCCAGAGATCTGAGCGACAATCAAATCACCACCATAGAAGAAAGGATATGTGACAACTTATGTAACCTAACACAAATGTAAGTGTTTTTTTTGTTCCGGCTCTCTTTTTTTTTACCTCTTTAACTACCACAAGAAAATATAGAGATTTCCTTTTTAAATAATCTCCCTAAAATAGTGCACTCTCACAAAGATATTTCACCCAAATATTTATATTTATATCATTTTATTACACTTTAAATTCCATTTTTTTTTTTTTGGGATAATTTTAACATAACCTTATTAGGTTATATCCAAGTAACATCTTCCTATGGGCAACAACTTGAAGGCACAAACTGAACTGTTCATAATTTATTCTTTACGGGGCATCAGGTGGGTACGCTCTACCTCTTCTATTCATTCAGCTAGCTAATCCGAATCACTCAATTCCATTTTGAGAGCGAGATCATCTGTGGTAGTAGCACTAGACATCTTCCAGGCATGTGAGTAAAACTAGCAGCAGTTCAGCGGACAGGAAGAATGAACGGTAGCCGGCATGACTAATGCTCTCCTTCCCTGGTCTTCTAGCTTAGGTGGACAACCATAGTTCTGTAATTTTGCAGGTTTATAATGCTCTTTTAACTTTCAGAACAATGGGTCAAACAGTGTTTGGTGAGAGGTTTAGAGCTTGGTATGTTTGTTGGGTTTGAAAAGTTTTTTTTTTTGTTTTGTTTTCGTATTTTGTTGTGCTTGATAATCAACCTGAAACATAAATTTAAACAGCTTTTTATGTATTTTTTCAAATTTTATATGTATTTTATCTATTGGTCGCTCTAACCCTGCCTGTCTGTTTTTATAGTGATCTAAGCAATAATCCTTTTGAGTGTGACTGTAAGCTGTTCCGACTGGTGAGGTGGCTGCAGGAAAAGGGAGTCCAAGTCCGACCCCCTGATGCCAAGCTCTGCAACCTTAGCCTGGAAACCTGTGGTAAGACATCTAAATGTTTATCTTAAGTATTACACAGCATTTTTAGAGGCTCAAAACAAATAGTTTAACAGCTTTTCTTGTCTCCAGGCAGTATTTGTAAGAATGCATGGTTGATATCAATTGAAGATGCTAAATAGAAAGAAAAAAGGCGCAGAAAATAAGACAAAGTTGACCATGTATTGATTTTGCAGCAGCCCATTCCCATCCACTCTTTGTTCAGCTGCGTTAGCTCTTGTCTACAAATACCTGTGACTGTGCATTTAAGCTTTAAAGAAATACACTCTTGACTGTCTAACATTTTCTGCTGGTAAAATAAGAAATCCTGAAGTCCTCTGTCTTTGGTTCAGGTCTTAGCTACGCCGCTTGTCTTGAGGACAGCAGCAGTCGAGGAGGAGGTGGAAGTGAGCTTGTAATCTTCACCTACTCTAAACCAGGGAACTACACACGTGAACAGTGTAACAGCGTGTGTTTTGGTTTGTCGCATCTCTATGGGGGCTTGGGAGAAAGGCATGAGTGTCTGTGTAGCACAAACAACGAGCCCAACTTCATCAGCGGATCTCACTATTCGGCTGCCTGCAACGATCGCCAAGTGATGAAGGTACACTTCAAACACTTCTGATCCTACATATGATTTGATACTCTTTTAACTTTATAGTGATGCTGAATCACTATAAAGTCATATATAGAGTCCTCATCTTTCTTATTTGTCAGAACACAGTGGTTAAAGATTCTGTTGTTTTAAAATTACTGAAAGGTTATCATGGGCTCATATCTTTAATTTTGTAGTATAAAAAGGATTTTATAAGATTTTTCCTACATTTCTGAACAATTATAAGGAAAAATAGTTCTTGATTTTTTAACTTTGTACCTCATCTGTTCTGTATTTTTTCATGTTTTTTTTGTCAGGCTGCTTTGTGTCATTATAAAATTGCTAGTTTTAGTCAAGAAAACTTAGAGGAAGCTCCTCCAGGCCGTTTGGTTGGGTTGCTTTAATGTCCAGAGTTAAGTACCTAATGATAGGTTGGGGCTTAATTGTCCTTGCAGTAAGATTTATTTTTTCTTTATTATTTTGGAATGATTTAAATAATGTTGGATATCCGTTTTTTATAATGGTATAATGATTTTGGTGAGTAACTATAAAAATTCTTCGTTACACAAATTATGATGCACTAGAATTGGGGCAAAATGTTTAATGCAAAGAAGGCCAGAGATATAATTTTTTCTACTAAAAATGCCAGATAAAAATGTCCATATTTTATATTAAGATCTATATATATCATTACATTTCTAAACATTTATTAGGACGATAGGTTTTGTATTTCTCTGTTCTACTGTTTCTAGGTCAATTTCTTCTCAAAACAATGAATATAATTTTAAAACACTGACAAAATAGAGAGATTTCTGTCAAATCAGAGGACAAAAATCTGTTTTCTGCTGTTTTTAGTGGTTTAGATCTTTGCACTTTTTATAAATGTACCGTAATTAGCCTTGGGTTAAATTTACGTATTTTGGAGTTGCTTAAACCATGTAGGCCCTCGGGCTGCATTTTGTTTTCCTCAGTTCTGCAACAAATTCCTTATAAACCTTAAACTTGCAGGAACTGTTGGCTTACATCAGTTCCAAAAACATGATATTTAAAAATTTATTATTGCTCTTTCTGTCTTGTCCTGGTTTACTGTTTTTCCTTATCTCTGTTTTTTTCTGCTAAGCACTTTTATTGACCTTGTTATTGATGGTCCTAGTTTAACTTGCCTTTAAAACTCTTGTCTGTATTAACACCAAAACCTCCACTTCCTCACATACTTTCGTCCATTCGACAGAAATGTGGGTGGACTCTGGCCCGTGATGTGTTTGCGGTGGAGTTCTCCGTCTCAGTGAGGCCTCTCCCGCTCCAAAGCGTGCACAACCTAATCGTTTTCTCCGCCACGTCCTCTGTCACGCCCGTGACCCTTTTCTGGGACTTTGGTGATCAAACGCCTCAGGTCAACACTACAGGAATGGGTGTCACCACTGCAGCCCACAAGTTTGCAATTCCAGGACGTTACAAAGTCAGTTTGAAGGCTGTGGCTGGACACAAGGAGGTTAGAGAGAAATGTTTTGGAAAATGTCTCATTTATTGCTTGTACTGGTTTTGTCTAGTTACAGATAAGAAGACCATATGGTCTCCTTTTTGGACCTGCACTTATCACTTATCGGGGTCTACTCACTATGGTTGTTGGAAATACATTTTTTAAATAATTGTTAGTCAGACTAGAAACCTAGATGGATTACCGAAGATTCCAAACTTTAAATGAAATTAGAGTTTCTCCTCTTTATTCAAAAAATTATAACAAAAGCTTAAATGAGTACTTAAATCCAAACCACAATTTGGTGTTTTTATGTTGCCCCTAAACTCCTTTATGTGTGTTTCTAAAAAAAAAAATCAGTCTGGATATATGACCACTCTTCTTGACCAATTTATTTTAATTTGATATGACTTCCTGGCACTGGAATGCCCTTTTGAGTATAATTCACATATTTATGATATAATAAGGATAAGGCTTTCCAATGGTATTCTTTCAGATTCATTTTTAGCATGTGTTCTCATGTTGGAACATCCTGTTGTCTTCAGGTTTTAACTGTTTCATAATGGCCTGAACCGTAAGAAAAATGGCTTCTACATTCAGGATGGTAGCAATTGCCACCATTTTGTTAGTTTGTCAGAAAATGCAAGTCATTGTAATATAAATGACTAATTTTTAACCAATAGAGAAGTCGTTTCCCCCTTGAATAGATGCTCTCAAATTTGACTGAATGCTACATCCCTTTAGTGGACGGACCATAGAGTTACACCAACACAGATAACCATGGGCGTAGGTTTGCATAGGGACCGTAGGGACATGTCCCATACCAAAATTTTGGCCCGACCTACTTGTCCCTACCTATGTGAACAACATGTTTATAGTTTAAAATACAGCGTTGTTGCAGCAGTCAGTTCTTTTCTCACAACTTGTGTTTAAGTTATTATTTTAAATGATCAGTGTCAGTTCCTCTTATAGTTCCCGCGCCCATGTAAATACAATAAATCTATTTCCAGTCCCTAGAATGTTATTTTACTTTGTTTTACAATACAGAGAATATCAGCATATCACATAAAAAAATAAGAGTGGGTTTTACCTCTGTTTACCTCTGCACAATTCTATTTCTACAAAAGAAAACACCTGATATTTAGATTATATTTGGTTAAAAAGGCACATATTTACTTTTCTTCTTAGTCACTGATAAGTTCAAATGTAACCCTTTTCAAAGGGTTAAGTTGTCCCAATTTCACATTATTCAGAGCAACTGATGCTTCAAACATCGATAAACAGCATCTAGTGTGTGTAGTGCTTATAAAATTTGTATAAATGCAGCAAAAAATGCTGTTTTCTCTTTAAACGAAATGCGCCCTGATGCTCACGTCAAGCATAAAAAAAAGGAGCATGCATATTTTTGACATCAGACCAATTCAACTTATGACCAATAGTGTCCCTAACAAAGTTGAGATCAAACCTACGCCCTTGCAGATAACTACAATATAACTGTTCAAAGGGGTTTAAACCCAAGATTATTGCACTGTACTGTACCTACTATCAAGCACGGCGGTGGCAACATCCCACTTCGGGGCTTTCTGCAGCCCATAGTCCTAGTATATTGCACAAAAAAAATGGTATAATTAGACAGAGTGCTACCACAAAATCAAGAACTTTAACTGAAATCAACAGCATAGCCCTTGATGTTCCAGCAGGACAATAATGCCAAACTATCCACACTTGATTCTGAATAGATGAAGCAGTAATGGAAAGTTTTTCCTAAACTGACTGGTAAATGGTCCATGACAAAACCAATCAGTTTAAAAGGACAACATTTACGTTTCTGCTAAGGCTAGTCATTAGCTATCTAACCAATATTACACTAGAAGGTTGTAAATTGCTAAAAAAAAAATGTGTGAGGTCAAAGTGCAACTTGCAATAGAATCGTTTACCAAATAAATGTAGATAATCAAATTTTTATCATCCTCTTTAAATTTAATCAAATTATTCAGTAATTTAAAACTTCTGCATGTAATCATCTTATTAAAAGTACATTAAAGCGACATGTGTTATATCACCAATTTGAATAAACTACTTGATTTCGATACTTAAGGCTCTAATGGATGTGAACTTCTGTGTTTTTTCCTTAATACTTTTTCATATACGCACCTGCATTTCTGTTTGTTATTTAGGTTGTGGCACGCACAGACGTGACTGTTGCTCTTCCTCCCAAACTCGAGCTGCACTGTCCCTCATCCGTTGTGGCTAACAAGAGTCTGGAGGTCACTCTTGTCAGTTGGGGTGGAATCAACTTAGATGTGAATTGGACAATTTCAAAGAATGACGTCCAGGTTGCCACAGGTAAAATAGAAATACCACTTTAAACATTTGCCTTTCACAAACATGCTTAATCTCCAAATACTTTATACTAAAGGTAATATAGAAATCAGCAAAAGCACTTTCCATAGTTTTAGATCAGTGCATTGCAGTTGTTGACTAAACCTTGCGGTTAGTCGTACAATGTGAGCAGCTGCTGCGTGAAAAAAATCGCACAGTGTTACTTTATTTAAATCTAAAACCTTTACCTGTTTGCCATGATATTTGTTAGAAAAATTTATATGTTATCATTTTATTTTAAGTTACAGGTATTTGGCCTTCTAGGAATGTTCTGTTGAACTGTCATGCTCTCTCATGTGTAAAACTCTGACCAATCCTGTTATTCCTTTGAAGTCCAATAATAAAAGCAGCAGAAGAGAGAGGTTCTGGCAGAGTAGACTGCAGAGTTTTCATGGGGTCTCTATCTTTGTCTGTTCTCTCTCTTTCCTTTCCTGCAGGAAAGCAACTTGCTTTGTTTGGTTTTCATTTCTAGGACATGCTGCCCTGCGACATGGGTAGCAGGGGCAGTAGTCTGAACAGAAACTCACAGATTTCACTGTTCCCAGACACCACATCTAGCTCCTCTGCTGGAAGCATGTGGCACTCTCGGGCCAGCTTAGGGACATAGTCCCTCCGGCATGTCCTAGGCTGTTCTCTGGGACTTATCCTGATGGGATTTGCTTGGGATAACTCCTTAGGAAGGCATCCAGTGGACATCTGGATCAGAGGTCCAAGCTACATTAGCTGTCTCCTCCCAATGTGGAGAGGGAGCAGCTCTGCTCAGAACCCATGCTTGAAGGCCAAGCTCCTCACCCTATATTTAAGGATGTGCCCAGTCACCCTGCGGTGAAGTCCAATAATGAAACACCACTTAGGAACTCAGGTTCAGAACTTTCCTCCAGATCATGTCCCTTGAGTTGTCACTGTCGTTTCCCACATAGACATTGAAGCCCCCAAACAGAATGATGGAATCCCTTGAGTGAAGCAAGTAAACCCACCCCAGCACCCTGTTTCTCCCTTCAAATAACTGTAGTAGAAGAGAGTCCAGCCCCTGTAGAGGAGCTGGGTTCCTGAGCCAAGTATTGCTCCACCTTTTCCACAAGCTCGGGCTTCCTCCATCCCATTAAGGTGTCATTCCAAGTCCCTAGGGCTAGTTTAACCACCCGTGGATTAGGTCACCAACGCTTCTGCCTATGAATGCTGCCCAATCCTCTTTGCACCAGTCTCTCATGGTGCCTTTCCAGTTGTGGGCCCATAAAGCGATCGCCTCGTGTCACTGTTTTGGGCTTGACCTGGCCGGGTCCTGCGAGGAGGAACCGAACCACCAGGCCCCTTTCGGCGAACCCTAACCCCAGGCCTGACTTCAGGGTGGAGTCCCAGCTCTGCTGTATCAGGCCAAATCACATGACATGTCCATATAATGGTCAGACGGGTTTCTTAAACCACTCTTTATCTGACCTCACATAGAGCCTATTTGCCATGAGAGACTCTTCCAGAGCCATCATCTGGGTACTAAAACCCCTCCACCATCATAAGGTGGCAGTTAAACTAAGGTTAAAGCAGGTTGTTAACAACCTGTATTTGTGTTCTTGAATCTATTGACATTTGGATTTTGTTTGGAAATTTGAATGATTGCTTCATAACCAATATTCAAGATGACAGTAGTTTAATAGCACAAGATGTGCTGCATACTTATTATCAGATTTACCACGCAGAGGGTGTTTTTTTTTTAATAATCTCTTTTTGAGTGGAGAAGCAGTTGTCTTTTTCCACAAAGGTTGCTATTGGGATTTCAGATGGCCTGAGAAATCACATAACTGTTTGCTGTTTTCTCCTCAGCCTTACCGGACTGTCCACAGGGAGAAGGGGTGTTAGACAGAAAGTCCTCGACCTGTTTCCACATCTTTCCAGAGGAGCTGAGCTGGAAGGATGCACGACAGCAGTGTTTGCGCCGCAACGGGGATCTGGCTGTGGTTAGGAGTGATGAACTGCGCAACCTTTTGGCACGCAAGGTCACACAGTGAGTTGTCTTTGTCCGTAGGACTGGACGAAATTGGGCCTTAGTAATTTCTTGCTGTGATTTTTTTTTTTTTTATAGTTTGTAATACTTGGACTGTTTTCCATCTTATTCCTAAAGATCTGAACAGTACAAAACAATTATGTAATTTATGTAAAAGAAATGAAACATAGCCAGAATGTGTAGAAAGCTTTTCAGTAACAATCTAATTTCCTGTCAGCTCTCTCACACAGTGTGGGACATTAATATTTAGTTCAACAAAAGGTAGTACATCCTGTCTACATCATGGGGAAAGAGACACATGTGGTTCCTCTGTTAAGTTATTATTTTAGAATCGCTGAAGAAGGTTTGGAGAGTTTTCCTTTAAAATACACACCTTCCAGATAGATGGGTGTATATTTAGACTATTTGTCTCATTGTTAAACCTCTTAATGGGTGGGAAATATTAATCATAAGGGAAGGTTTTGTCATCAAACTACCCATATGTTAGTAATTACTAGTAAGTAAAACTTCTTTATTACCCATTTTTATAGACAAAGATCACCAAGTGATGTAGATATAAAATCTGAAAACATAAACATAATTGGATTGTTAATTATAAGTATATTGTGAAAAGATGTTTTTAGTTTCTTAAAAAAAAAAAACCTCAACAGAGTTCACCAATCTTAAGAACTAAAGAGAAAAGAGCATTCCACAGATCTGGGCCTATTGCTGAGAATCAACTTTAGTTTTCAACCCAATGGAGCTTCAAGGTACACAGGGGTGTAAAAGTTTTAAGATTTGTGCCAAGGTTTGACATTCAAAGTTTTATAAGTAAAAACCAAGATCTTGAAGGTATTCTGCATTTGCAAGACTGAAATAATTAGATGTAAATAAAAAAGTCATGCCACACCTATAGTATTTGCTGGCAAATACTATAGCATTGTTTTATTTCATAATTTCTAAAGCAGCTTTGTGTCAGTCTTAATACATTTTAAATGAAACTTCATAAATCTCGAATAGTTATCATAGAACTGATTGCAGACACCAGGATCCTACCCTCTCTATACACACTGCAGTCAGTGTGGCCTGAGAAAGAGAAACGTATTTATGATGAGCTTGATTTTATTTTTTATTTTCTACTACTTCCTGCTGCCAAGCAGGTTCAGTTGAAGATATTTTCGATTCTACTGGTCTGTCAGTAATCAGGCCTGTAGGTTAAATTGAAATTGGATTTCCTAAGAATATAGTCATAATTGCAGGGTCCAGTTAAGTTTGGATAAATATTTTCTTATTTTTTATAAAAGTTACGTCTTGTTGTTATTCTCGTTATCATTTGGTTGTGTTAAGACTCTCTTTTTCCTCTCATATAATCTGCTATTGTTATTTCCTGCATTATGTTCTATGTATAAAGATTAGCCCAATGAAAGGTCCGGGTTGTAATCTCTATCAACTGTGCATTTGAGTAAAGAGTTAAGCTCTGGACTGGCTTTGGTTTGTGGGATGGAATATTCCTGAGGAAAGTGTTTGCTGTTTGGTTTAAAGAACTTTGTAAGAAAGACATCTGTGAAAGCACAGCTGCATTAAGAGCTAAACATCCCACCAGGAGGCCCTGCTCTCTTCGTTTTGAGTAAATAATAAAAAAAAGCCTGTCCTCTGTCTCCTCTTCCACTACCCACCCACCCCCTGCTTATATAAGACATTTTTATTAGTGATATGACACTTTTCGATAAGCCTGTTTTTTCTAAATTATTATCTTATATTGTTGCACAATAGTCAAAGAAAGGTTAATTTCCTTTTGCTCATCTGTGTTGTGGTTCGGGAAAGGAGAGTGGGGTGTTCATCAAGCTGTGTAGGCACCTCACAACATAAAAAATTAAAATTTATTCAGGAGATTGCAAGGTTCTTTATTTAACTGTTGCCCAGTTTTATCCTCTTAATTACCAATTACAATGTTGTATTTTTTCTGACAGTAATCATTGAATTTTGAGCAAGTTGAGAAATAAATTAAAGCCTCTTGCACAATCGATTTTTAATGAAGTTTTTAAGTCTACTTTTGCTGTATTGTGAACAAGAAAGCAAGCTCAATTCTCTATGCATTTCGGTTTAAACTTTTTTTTTTTTATTGGTGATGTTTTTTTGCAGCAGGGAACGAGGCATTTGGCTGGGCTTGAGTGATGTTAACTCACCAGGGAAGCTACGCTGGGTTAACGGGTCAGCAGCTCAGGAGGGTGAAGAGGGCCAGCAGCCCCACTCATCGATCTCTCCTGGAAACGTGTGTGTGTCGTTCGATCAGAACGGTCAGACCAGCTCACACCTCTGTGACTCGAAAAGGGCTTATGTCTGCCAATACAATCCCCAAGGTATGCTTACAGACAATTACCAAACATATTCAAAAGAGACACACTCAATACAAATGCTAATTTTCTCCAGTTCACCACAACCTCTATATGCTGGCTTGATTTTTTAATGAATTTTACAAAGATTCAAATTGTGCTTGCACCCTTAATATGACATCTAATCAATCTCAGTCTGGGTCGCCATTTCTGAACACTTCTCTTATAATTAGAGCACAATTTGTATAGATTAGTTCTTGTATGAGGAATTTGATTTAACATTCTGAAGTGTAGCCATCCACTTGTTTTTCTTAGAATCCATTGGTCCTGAAGTAGTTACCAAGACAGTAGATTCCAGCTCTGCACTGTTGACTGTCATTAACATTGTCAATAGGTAGACATATTTATTTGATAAATAACCTAACAAACTGCGGTGTGCTTTGTGCATCTAGACTTGAATGATTTCAGAAATTGGTAAAAATAAAGATTTTTTTCTAAAAGTCTAAATATGCCGTTTTGGCTTGTAATGCATGTTTATTTTCATCTTTGGTATTTTCTTCAGTTACATTTTAAGTTTAATAGATTCATTTATATATAGTTTTATCCCATCTAAGGGTCATTTGAAGAATTGTAATGCTCAAGCTAGGAGTTGTGGTGGACAATTATTTTGTGTCAGAGCTATGACAATGGGAAAGTCTAATGAAAAAAAGCTTAAACAAGTTGTTACTGCTGTGTTTACATTTAGTGGTGCTGTGGCAGCTATTCATGTGTGCATTTATGTCCTCTTTAGTTATTTCTCTTATTCCCTGCTTCAGTGCTTACTTGGTTTCCTTTTGTTTGTCCCATTGGACTGACTTTTACTGGCATTCCAGCTCAGACCCATGGCCATAGCAGTTAAGCCCAAGGGGATGGTTTGACTCATTGTGATTAAGGAAAAATAGAAAGAAGTGGCCTAAATCTACTCAATAATATCACTGAAATATCCAACATTATTATTTCAATTTCCTGTTTCCTTGATCTCATGCTGCCATTCAAAGGTCTCCTAGCTTAGGTGGGTTGATGGGCTCAGGTTTAGTGAGGAGCAGATAAAAGAAGGGAGGAGAGCAGGCTTGTTCCTCTACTTTAAAACAGCTGACTCTGTCACTTTAAGACATCACTGACATTTGAAAACTCGTTTTGAAACCTGCTGTCTAATATTTGCAGTCCTTTGGATGTTTGCATCCCCATGTCCAGTTTTGTCCTGTATCCAGGGTTCTCACAAGGAGTTTTCATAAGTGGACTTAGTAACTTTTTTATTCTCTGTTGCCACCAAATCTTTTTTTGTGTGTGTGTTGTGTCTTTGCTAATTAAATCTGCTATTCATTTTGTCCTTTCTTTCATGTTAGGACATTCATATCTCCACTTAACATGCAAGCTGATTGATCCAGTAATACGTTTCACGATCAGCTATAGCTACAGCTAAGCACTTGCAGAGCAATTATGCTTTATATTTTTTAAACTGGATACTCCACCCCTACTTCTAAAGGTTGCTCTCTCTGTCTGCAGAGCACATGCATGGCACAATACCGCATCCTGTTGCATGATAAATTAATGTTTGCACTTGATTTTTCCCTCTTTAGTGCGTGTTCCAGATGCCGGAGTGTACATGTTGGGCATGACAGTCTTTTCTTCCCAAAGTCCAATGCATCCTTTATCATCTACTCTCCTCACTGTTCCACAACCTCCCAGCCATGCCATAGAGGTAACGAATAATTTATTCTTGTTTATTTATTCATAGTTTTTGTCACACTTTTTCACATTTCTTTTTTCTCTTTCTTCACACTCTCAGATGCTGTTGTTTCCTGCAATGAGCTTTGTTCAGGCAGGCCGTCTGTCCTCTTTGGAGTTTGTCACCAGGAACCTGAGCTCACAAGTCCACATCAGATTCCAGACCTACAGACCCAAATGCCCCGGCCAACACCTGCTGCTACCTAGTGAGTCATGCTACCCAGTAGATCAACTTGTAAACAGCAGGGGTTACAGATCACACATGAACATAGACCACCTGAGCCAACACCTCCACTTACACACATATTCATTTATACTGACCCTCCCTGTCAAAAGATGTTGGGTAAAAGAACAAGAAGAAAGTCCGTGAATGGAGATAAAACCGATAAAACATAGAGAAATTGCAAAAAAGCAGGGTGTTGTAAATATATATATATATATATATATATATATATATACATTGATACACTCAATTGAATACCTGCTGCTGTTAGTGTGAAATGGTGAAATTATCTGCTTCCATCAAAGTCTATTTCTCTGTTTAAGATAACTAATTAAACAGCTGAGATTTTTGTTTTAAATAGCTTCTTAAAGCTTTTATGCTGAAGCTTGTTATATAGTCCAAAAGAAGCTAAACAGTTTTTTTCTTTCTCCTCCAGCCCTGTGGTTGATGTTATTTGTTCTTGGCACGTCTAGGCAGAACTTCTTTCTTGCATCATTTCCAGAAACATTAGTATGATGAGTGTAGTTAAGTAGGAAGATAATTTCACCTGATGTCAGATCTGTACATTTAATTCTTCAAAGGTCTATACCAGGGGTCACCAACGTGGTGCCCGTGGGCACCAAGGGGCCCTCAAGGACAACATGGGGTGCCCTCAGCATCTTTTGAAAACAGAACAATTCACCAGTGGACTAAATCTGAAATGTTATTTTTTACTGAAGCTCTTATTTTGAAGCATTTATGAAGCATTTTATCATATCAATAAATTAGAAAATTTGAGCATTTATATGGATTTCATAATGAGAATATCTAAAAGCAAATTAAACATGAAAAGAAACAATAGAAATATGTTTATTATCTATGAAGTTCAGGTGAACGCCGACTCCTCTAGTTCATAGGTCAGTATTGGTAGCCCGTCCTATGACTCAGTACCCATAAAGTAGCCCTCAGCCTTAAAATAGTCGGTGACCCCTGGTCTATACAATAATCTACAGCAGGGGTCTGCAACCTTTCATATCCAAAGAGCCCTTTTGCCCAGAGTACGACCAAATAAAAGTTGTTCAGAGCCGCAAAATATACAATTTTTTTAAAATCTTGTATAGGAAATTAGTTGTTGCCATCTCAAACAATCAATTCATCAATTTTTTATGTTAAAACGTATAATTTTCAAGCTAATTCATAGAAAAAGGTCTCTTAAAACATATTTCTGGTTCTATTAATCTCATTCTTTTCCATCTTATAAAAAACGCTAAAGCTATTGATACCGGTATATATTACAGTAAATTATTTAGCTCTTTATGTACACTTTAGCCACTATTAAGAGCCGCTGGAGAGGGTCCAAAGAGCCATATGTGGCTCTGGAGCCGCAGGTTGCAGACCCCTGATCTACAGTATACATTGATCAATCATGTGAAGGGTGTTTTGAGGATCAGCTGGCAGAGAAAAGTATATAAGAAAATATGAACATTCGCATGATGATTCTCAGTAATATAATGCGTTTTGCACTCCTCTTCCTCCTTATTAATCCCCTCAGCTACTGTGTTGGCGTTGTGCTTTCTTTTGTGGGTGTGACATCCATTAGTTCAGCAGCTGAGATTCTCATAAAGTTTAATATTTGGAGGCAAAGCAAAATTTTATCCTTGTTCTTGTTGCATCAAAAACAAATATCTCTGTTCCTGCAGAGTATTTAGAAAGTTTTACTTTGACTTTTTTTAGCATCTCTCAGGTTCTGATAATAACTCCTCTTGAGTCTTCTACCCACAGTAACACCTTTCATAGAAAGGTTGTTATCGTGACCTTATTTCCATGTATCTGGTCAGAAAATCAATCTGATATGCAGTGGCTGACAAGATAAGTTTTTAAACTGTCTCTATCAGCAGTCACATCTGTTTTCTGTCTCAGGTTGCGGGGGTCCGGCTTGCTCTCCAGTTGCTGTCTGTGTCCCCAGTCACACGTTGACCAAAGATCCTCCATCATGCCCCCCAGCAGAGCAATGGTGTCCCTTCAAGGGTCGTTGCCTGGCCTTGTCAGATCCATGCCACTCAACTTCCTGTACTAACTGCACGCCTGGTCACAATCTGCCACCTGGGGCATCAAGGCCTAAATACACCTTAACGAATGAAATAGTGTTCAGTCTCCCAGCAGGCCCAGGACATGTATTGGTGAGAAGGACCTGCTTTTGCCTTTAAGCTCGGTTTGACTTTTCTTTGTATTTTCTTTGTTAGATTAATGTGTGGATATGGTTGCAGATACAAGACCAGCTGGAGGACATCATGGTGTTCCCTGGTGATGTTATCGCTCTGCAACATGACAGTGGCCCATCATCTCTTCTTCAGTGTCAGTCTTCCCCACAGTCGTTGTGGCGACAGCCTGTTTTAGCCCTGAACTTATCGGAGTGGTTCTGGATGAACAGCACCAGAGAGTTGGTAGATTTCTCAGATCTGAACGTGGAAAATTTTGTGAAGAATGGTAAGGGAGGCTGGCTGGAGGAAGAAACATGCTTGATCAGAGTGCTCTATGTGGGACAAAATGAGACCCGGCTTCAGGGAGCGCAGCTGTCTGTCGGTCTACCCCAGCCTGGACTCTACAGCCTGCTGGTAAGTCATCGATTTACATATAATTTCCCTGCATGTATCTTACAGATGATTCGCGCATAGAGAGGCCACTTAGAAATGTGTGGCCTTAGAGGTTTAGCTTGTTCAGGTTTGATTTATTGTCAGAAAATGATTCTTTCTTGCTTCAGGTTTCCTCCACTGAGCCATCCTACCCTTCTTCAGCATCGTGTCCACTCCAAATAGTACCTCCCCTGGGTTTGACGATCCTCCACCCTCCAAACAATGGCACCCTCTACATGCAGCCAAACAACACCCGGCTCGTTCTCCGCGTTCATTCTCAATATGAGACGAGGGTATCTCGTCTAGGCACCAATCATAGTGTGACCTTCCAGTCAGAATGCCCGACTGAATTATTTTCCAGTCAAACTGTCTGTCAGCCTGGGTGGAGCCCTGGGTCAGAGGTTAAGGTCTCACAGCATTTCATGTATGCAGTGTTAGATCTGAGTCTGAAAAGAGAGGAAAAGAGCGGTCCAGTGAAGGTAGAGCTGGAGGCTCATAATAATGTGACCGAATCAAGCCTGACTGTGGTTGTTCACCTTGAAGAACCACTTGAAGGACTGGTGGTGAAGCCAGACCCAGAACACAGGGTCCTGATGGACTCAGTGGTGGTAAGTTTGTGGTTCTTGGCCGCCTGTTGTGCTGATTGACCATATATGATTTAAGTGACAGTGTCCTCCTCCCTTTCTTTCAGAGCTATACTGCTTCAGTGGTTAAAGGGTCTAATCCAACATTCAAATGGACTGTGGACGATAAGCCCTACTTCACTTACTTCAACAGTGTCCTCAACGTGATCTACCAGAATGCTGCCATCTACAAGCTCACCGTGAGTTTTTGTTGCATGTGCATCACACTGGTAAAACTCAAGGCCTGCTGCTCAAATCAAATTTCTCCAGGCCTGAGGAGCCAAAAAGGCTTATCATATCAAAAAGCAACGGCACATTTTTTTAAACTGTGTCAAATGGCTAAACTTCAAAATAAATAGTAAATTTATAGCCTATAACCACTGCACCACCGAAGCATGTCCTTTCAAAGACATGATGATGCGAAAGTGGGCCGATAAAAAAATAACTTTTGGTACCCTTGATCTACCAGACTATTCTAATGTCTAAATGTTTTAGTTAAAGCTTCTTAATGTTGTTTAACATATTATGCTAGAAAATTATATTTTCCTTTTTTATCAGAATCTTGTAATTTTAGAGCTGGAAGTGACACCAGACTGAAAAGTTCTCTGGAACTCTCCTGCATCTCTTCCAGGTGACAGCAACGAACCATGTCAGCACACTGGTGAAACATTTCAACATAACTGTGGACCGACTGCAGCCAATGGCCAACCTCACAGTGAAGGGGGTACCAGATGTGGTCCCTCAGGGGTCCAATCAGACTCTCACCACCTCCGTCGTCGTGGACATGTCGGTGCCAGCCACGTTCCGGTAGGATCCGTTGGAGAAACGGGCATGTGGTCATTAAATTGATGATATACAACTTTTGAAACATGCCTGTAATCATCGTCTTTTTTTGTTGTTAACTATTTTTTTTAATTAATGAAGTGAAGAAGTTGTCATTTCCCAATTCTGTTTTTCTATTTCCATTCTTTTCTCGGCTTTAAGCTTCCTGTGTGCCATAATAGCACCACAGCAGTCGAAGCCTTGAATTTATAACTATGTGGTCAGGAAAGATTGCTGACAAGGATTTTCCTCTGTGCAACTGTTTCTCCAGAACTTGTCCTTTCCCCCATTTGTTTTACTCTTTTCAACCTTTTCTAACCTTCCTTCAGTTTAGCAATCTTTCTCTTACTCTATGCTTATTTCTTTCTTCTCTAAAGAGCCTTCAAGTTCTGAATTGATTGTTCTCCAAACCCTCCATTGATCTTATTGGTTGAGGAGATTCACATTTTCCAGTCCACTATGTATAATATTTTGTACACAAACTGTCTCTTGGAGTTTACAGCATCAATCAGTGTGAAAAGGTTGATATCTTCCTTTTTGACCTTTCATCATGTCTTTTCCTCTGCAGATGGTCTTTTGGTGATGGCGGATATGAGGAATTTGAGTCAAAGCCTCCATATTCTCCTTCTCTCCTTTGTCCAGCCTCCCCTAATCAAATCCTCTTGAGCAAAAACATCACCTATATCTACTCTCAGCCAGGTATGGCCTCTTTCTTGAACCTGTCAGATAAGCAAATGCAACTAGAGCTGAAGTCTGGGCCAGGGTTTGAAGTAAACGATTTACTTTCTATTTTCTTGGAAGAAATATATTATTATCATTTTTTCTTTTTTTCTTTTGTTAATCATTTTTACTAAGTAATTCAATTTGCAAATTCAAAAGAAAATGTTCTTCAGATTACACAAGGTATAAAGAAACTAATCAGTTTTTTCCCCTTGGTTAGAATATTTACTGGTATTCTGTTTGATGGCATCAAAACATTTAAATAATGCGTGAAAAAAAAACAGGATCATTTGGAAACCATAAAACTCATAAAAGCTATATGTTATAAAGGTTCAGTAAGGATTTCAATAGATATAATTCTTTATTATATATTGAAACAACAATTTTAATCCAAGTTGTGATTTTTTTCAATTCAGTAACGGATGACATTAAAATGACTTCAATTGGTATTAATCACAGTGATGTAAAAACTTTTTGCCTCTTTCTGATTTTTTTTTTTTTTTTTTTGCATGTTTGTCACTTTAAGGTTTTTAAGACCTTGAAACAAACTTAAGTATTTATCAAAGACATTGCAAATGAATGCAAAATGGAGTTTTGAGTAAAGGTTTTCCCTGTATAGAAAAATTATTGCACCTTAAACAAAATAACTGGTTGGGTCACCCTTAGCAGCAGCATCTGAAATGACTTGATCAATAATATGCAGTGAGTCTCTTACAGCATCATCTTTGCAGGATTGTTATTGTTTAGACAAATTTAAGGGTTTTCCAGTATGATTAGCTTTGTTAAGGTCATACTATAAGGCCCTTACAAGGTCTTTTACTCTGTTTTTCATCAGCCTTTTGGAGGTAGACTTGGTGTTGTGCTTTGCATCATTGTCCTGCTGCAGAGGCCAAGTTGGATTTAGCTTAAAATCAAGAACGGTTGGGTGGACATTCGCCTTTAGGATGTTTTGGTAGACAGCAGTATGAATGGCTTAATTCCTCAAAGCAGATAAAAACTTTCTAGAACTTTTTTTTTGTTAACTTTTAAAAGTTGGGATAACAAAAAGTTCAATCAGGCAGTTTGTTTTTGCAGTTCTCTTTTAAAAAAACTAGAGATGAACCAACCTGATGCCTTGGTCGGATATTGGCTACGATGATGACTAATCAGCTGGTTCGGAATGAATGATTTGATATCAGATCCAATCCAGTTCACTTTACATGGAACTGTTATTTCTTTCTTTTTACTACTTATTTGTAAATAAGAAATATAAATTCTGTTTATATCTGTGTTAATTTGTCAATTTTAACAATGTTTATGTCAAAAAATCTTGATGATAAGAATAAACCAACAGATACCATACAGAAAACATTAAGTTTACTATTTTTTATTGCCCTGTTTGTTTCAGGTATTTACACAGCACTGGTGTCAGTATCCAATCGCTATGAGAACATCAGCCAGAGCATCAACATGAGTGTTTACAGCATCCTGACTCGTGTCGACATACAAACAGAGCCGCAGTTTCTGCTCGCAACAAAGTTGGCTGAATTTGAGGCCCATCCTCTGCCCTCACCGTATGGCATTCACTACGACTGGAACTTTGGGGACGGCTCCGCCCTCCAACAAGGCCGCCGTGTGGAACACACATTCTCAGAGAGTGGCGTCTTCAACGTCTGTGTATCAGTAAACAACACCATCAGTTTCACATCAGCCTGTGCAGAGATATTTGTGTACGAGGAGATCGAAGACCTCACCGCTCAAAGCTCATCTCCCACAGAACTCCAAAGCCGCACTACTGTTAGGGCGCACCTGGGTTCTGGTAACAACATCACCTGGACGTTCTCAATGGGGGACGGCACCATATACACCACATCTGAACCTCAGATGTCGCACAGCTACATCAAAGAGGGCAATTACACAGTAAACGTGACGGCCAAGAATGCGGTGAGCTCCGGTTGGACAATCCTTCCGGTTCATGTGTATGTTTTACAAGTCATAAGGATGGAGCCTGCAGGATGTGTCCAAGAGCGGACCAAAGTGGTCTTTCATGCACAGGTCTCTGGTAATGCAACAATTCACTATTATCAGTGGAGTTTTGGGGATGGTAGCCCCAATGAAACTTTTCAAGGCAACCCCATGGTCTCGCACACCTACCAGTCCAGTGGGAACTACCACCTCTCTCTGCTCCTTTCAAGTGGAGTCAACAAAGCCACTAAAGCTAATTTCTTCAACTGGGTGTGTGTGCAGCCGGCTTTGACAAACATCAGCTTCATCCCTGATAAATCCCACTATACCGTTGGAGAAGAAATATATTTCAGAGTGACTGCTGAGCCTGAGTTCAACTACAGCTATCGGTGGGACTTTGGTAGAGAGGAAAGTCCATTCCTCATCCATGGCTCTGGAAATGTTGTGACAAAGTATAAAAAGCCAGGTCATTATCTGGTAACTGTTTATGTCTTCAACAACATCTCTGCCAATAACGCCAGTGCTGTTATTGACATTCTAGCACCAGTTGGACCAATCTTGATTCATCACAATGGGACAAATTACAATAACTTGTCACGGGGTGCTCCATACGCTTTCACAACTTCTTCCTTGGCCTCCGATGTCATTTACACCTGGAGTTTTGGAGATGGAAGTGTGCTTAGAGGTAAACGTGTCCTCCATTCCTACAACATCTCTGGGAAGTATAACATTAGACTTCAAGCTGACAACAGTGTTAGTCATAACGAGACTGCTCTACAGATTATTGTGCTTGCACCGATCCTAAGACTGAGGGTCAACTCTAGTTTGGTAAATGTCCCTCTTAATGATTCAGTCCACTTTGAGGCCTACAAGGAGGAGGGAGATGGTGTACGATATTTTTGGATTCTGTGTGACCGCTGCACCTCAATCCTAGGAAATCACACCATGTTCTACACCTTTCGCTCCATTGGCACCTTTAACATCATTGTAATAGCAGAGAATGACGTGGGAACAGCCCAAGCAAGTATCTCCTTGTTTGTCCAACGAAGGCTGGAGGGTCTGCAGATTTTGAAAGAGAAAGAGGGCAGAACCGCTGCACTGGAAAGCTGTTGCCATGAAACAAACAGTGGTCTCCGCCTTCAAGCAGGATTGAAGGAGGGCACAAACATGACATTTAGTTGGAGCATTGTCACAGAACTTGATCCTGACAGCTCATTTAATGCAAGTGGGAAGACTGTGGAGCTGAACATCCCAAAGCCAGGACCCTGCGACATCTCTCTACGAGCAGAGAACCTCCTGGGTCACCTTGTGGTCAACAAAACCATCAATTTTTTTGAACCACCAGCAGATGTTTTCCTAAAAATCAGCAATAACCCAGTTGCCACTGGAGCTTCAACAAACCTGACAGTAGAGATCACGAAAGGTTCAGATCTGCAGTATCAGTGGTCTGTGGATGGAAGAAATCTACAGTGGACCAAGCCGTCATTGACCTACACCTTCAATAGTCCAGGCCTAAAACAAGTTTCTGTAACTGTCTTCAATGATTTGAGCTCAGCAAACGTAACGAATACCATCCACGTGCAAGATATGATTTCTGGGTTAAGTTTCTCAGGACCCAATGAAGAGGATCAGCTTTATGTGAAAACCGGAGCTAACGTCTCTTTTGAGGGGAAGGTGAAGATGGGAACTGATGTGAGGTGGACATGGCTGGTGGAAGGAAAAACTAAATCAGGAAAGAAAATCTTTGTGGATTTTACTGAGCCAAAAACTGCCACCGTCACGCTCAATGCCACCAATAACATTAGCAGTGAATCCATTTCAAGGAAGTTCATTGTTCAGGATGCGATTAAAGCATTGGAACTGAAGGTGAGTAAGAAGCTGGTAGCAGTTAACGAAAATGTGGTGTTCACCCCCTATGTGATTGGAGCTACGGACGTCAACTTAACCCTCAGCATCGACAACGGGAAAACGATCTACCTTCAGGCAAACAAAAACTTCACTCAGAACTTCAGCAGGGCAGGCACCTACATGATGAATCTGATGGGATGCAACAAGGTAAGATAAACACAGACTGGTTTATTAAAATATACCTATATTGTTTCATTTTGATTGTCAGAGTATACATCAGTCCAATAGTACAATTAATGTTAGGAATTCAGTCTCATGCATTTCCCTGCAGTAAATTTAAATGTTATGGTTTATTAAATGTTTTCACAAATCTACATACTTTAAAGAAGAGTAACAAGAACTCTTCCCCTGTTTCCATGTGATACATATATATAAAGTTAAAGGTTGCCCTTGACATCCTCAAGTTCTTACATACATCGTTGACATACCTATCTCTCTACAATGTCAACATTTTATATAAAATAAATGTATTTTGCCTTGATTATCCAATGGGATATGAAGATGTATACTTAAGTAAGAAAAAATGATTTGTTATCTCAATAAGATGATGTCTAATTATCTTATTTGAAAGGTAGAAATACTTATTTATTTGGAAGATCACTGTGTTTGCCTGCTCAAATTCACCTGTCAACTGTCCACACTACAATCAATTAAATGATTTATAAACGCCTAAAAAAAACATAACTTAATTCAGTTGCTGTTCTCTAGATCTTGGTAGGCTCTAGCCTGCCATATAAAGCCCTTTAATAGTGGACAGTAGCTTTATTGTGGTAGGATGATGCTGCAAATTTGGGTACGCCACATGCAGCCTGCGGTCGGGTCATTACAGTTAACAGGTTAAGAGCAAATATACTTAAAACGTCTTTACTTTACTTTACAGCGTCCTGAATCCAGTCCCCTCTATTCTTTGCTGGCTTTGTGTTCTTCATTTACCTTTTTTTTGTTTTTAAAGGACCTGGTATTTTGCTAGTAACATATTTTGATGTATTTTTTAGTCGACTTTGTTGTGAAAGAGATGAAGAAAAAGGCATTGCTTTTTCGACTTTATAAACTGCTTTTACTGCCATACAAGATGGTGAAAAGCATCTGGAAACGTCTTAATTTTCAGACACGTTATTCTTGATCTGCAGTCACACCTTATGTTTGTTCAAGCTGGGGTTCATGTAAAAATATTATAATTACTCTAATACCTGGATTTCCCCATGAGTGTGAACAATATAATCAGGTTAACTGTTACATTAAATACAAGGTTACGTCCTTATAATTTGTTATAACCAGACTAAAATATATAAGTCTAAAATTTATAAGAATTGTTTTTAGTCCCTTTCAAGGTTTGGATAAGTATAGAAAAACAGCATCAGAGGATAGAAAAATATTTTGTCCTTTATTACCTTCTTTAATTTTTATTTTTTCCTTTCTTATTTTTTTCCTCCACTCTCCTTTCCTGTCTTTATTTCTTTTTTGCTCATGATTTTTTCCATCTTTTCCTTTCTTTGTCATTCAAACTGCACTATACACTTAATAACTTTAAAATTATGTTTTTTTTTTTCATGACAAACCAGATCGACTGTAAAAAAACCAACGTCCAGATTGTGGTGATGGAGCCAGTGAGTGAGCTTTCAATCCAGGGAATCCAACCAGCCATTCCCGTTGGAGAGACGAGGATATATACTGCTGACATCAAGAAGGGGGAACCTGTTGATTTCTTGTGGACGTTTGACATGCCTCACTTAAAAGTCCATTTTGTGAAATTGAAAAAGGTTTGATTGTTCACACATTTAATATTCTCAGATTTTAACATCAGTGTCAGAACAAGATGAACGACTATTAACCCACTTAATTGTTTGTCTATCTCTATGATTTTAGGTGTCTTACACCCCGGAACAACCAGGCACTTTGATTATTTATCTGGGAGCTTTCAATAGCATAAATTGTCGGAACATCACCGAGCGCATACAAGTGCAGACAAAGATCAATTCTACTAACCTGTATGCCATGCCGCAGGATACTTTCATCAACAAGACAATCACTTTTATGGTCTCGATTACTCCTAAATCTAGCCCAGTGAACTGCACATGGGACTTTGGGGATGGCTTTGTAAAAGCCAACAACAACACCGACCCTGTTCACTATAAGTACAGTAATGCGCAACATTATCAGGTCCAGGTATGTATAACCTTATGCTTCCAACAGTTTTTTATCTATAGTTTTTTTGTTACATCCCAGCCACAAACTTAATTTTTTTATAACAAAGAAGCACATCATTATGAGGTAGAAGGAAAAGAGCTGATCTCAAGTTTAGACAGAAATGTTTATTGTGTGGTTTCAGAAATTAGCTCAAGCTCAAATTGCAGGGATGGAATCTTTATTGCATTTAGGGTTGGACTTTGACTGGTTATTGTAATATAAACTTGATTTGATCAAAAATATTCCCATATTTAAGGTTGTTGCTGTGTCAGAATGTAACTCAGCCCCAATCTCCAGTCCTTTCCACCTTCCTATCATCTCTGACAATCTTATTCTGTTATTTTTGAGGTGCACCAATCACAGTAGGAAACATAACGGAACGATAATGTAATGATGTATACTTAGGAACTTAAGGACATGAGAGGAACATGGAACAACAAGGTGCAACTGAAAACATAAGTTAGGGCGAGCACAACAGTAGAAACCAGCAAAGAATAGCTGGGAATCTTTATACTGAGGAGATTGGTTGCTAGATTGAGCACATATGGGTCTAATGAACACACTGAGTTTCATCTCTGATGGAAATATGCAGAGGGAAATGTGGTAAAACAACTGGAGTACTAAACAGAATGCCTACATGTAGAAACTAATCAGGGCAAATCACAATCTACGTTCATGGAATACTAAAGACCACAACACAAGTGAGCACTAGGAATCTCAAAACTACGAAATTAGCTAAAAGTAGAACCGCAGGCTTGACAAAACCAAATATAAGAACAAAGTGGCAGATAAAAAAGTTGAAAAAATAATCCATGTCTCTGCTGAAAAAAGAAGCATTGCCATAGCATTATGCTGCCATCACCATGTTTGGGACCACAATATTCCAGAACATGGTGATGGCAGCATCATGCTATGGTATTGCTTTTTTTTTTTTTTTTATCAGCAGAGACATGAGTTATCTTTTGACTTTTTTATCTTCTACTTTGTTCTTATATTTAGTTTTGGTTGGGATGGTGTGGTCAGGGTATCTAATATTTCAAAATTGTGACAGAATGTCACATTTTCGCCTGCTTGGTTTAGGTTTAGAGTTTAGGTTAACTGTTCTCCATTTTCAGAGGATGGATAAAACAGCACTCTGTGTGTGAATTATCTCTGAGCTGTATGCTTTTTTCTATTGTTGTTCACTAACGTACTATGAAATCCTATGAGGTCCCAATAAAACAGCTGCTTTTATACTCATGTGAAGTTTTTTTTTTTTTCCCCCAGCGTTTTTATTGTCATTACACTGTCACAAGTACATAGCAACGAAATTCACTCTCTGCATTTGACCCATCCTTGGGGAGCAGTGGGCTGCCATTGTGCGCAGTCTGAGGTTAAGGGTCTTGCTCAGGGAACCAGAGTGTCAGTCCGTGGGAGTGGGACTTGAACTCAGAACCTCTGGATTCCAGGCGCAATGACCTAACCACTAGGCCCCGCTCCCCTTAAGCTACACACAGTCAAACCTTTTCACCAATTAAGTGTCTTTGGATTTTATTTAGGAGTGGCAGAATAGATAGGACTGAACACCAATGTAAGCCAAGCTTTCACAGTGTTGTACTTCTTTAGTTCTGCTTCAAAATGATGTGCTTCCTTTTGTTGGTCACACTAAAACACATTGAAATGTGTTGTAACAAAATTCTTAAAGGTGAAATGTTTACTTAAGAGTCTATCTTGGTCATTTTAAATTTCAAGGATTGATGGATTGGAATGTTTAAATGTAAATTCTGTCTTGTTATTTTTTTTTTTTTGACTAGCTCTTTTCTCCTTCCCTGACAGGTAAACTGCAGTAACCAGGTGAGCTCGGATTGGGACAAGGTGGAGGTTAACATCAGAGAATTGGACTGTGAGGAGCCAGACGTTCAGATTTCTCAGTCCCGCCTGGTTCTTTGGCGTTCTCAGCCTATTTCAGCAGAAGCCATAGTGGACTTAAAGGGCTGTTTTCACTACAGAGCTCATTACCTATGGCAGGTTTTTCCAGAGTCCTCCTGTGAAGATTTAATGAGAGAGAGAGAGAGCCCTCTACCCCCCAACCTGAGGTCTCAGATTCCTACCAGTGAAGCAGTCCGCCTGCCTGTGGAGGTGGATGTGCAGCGGCTACAGCTGCTGCTGCCGAAGAGGGCTTTGGCAGCAGGGAACTACTGCTTAGTCTTTTCTCTGGCATATGAAGGTGTGCCTCTAAGGAAGGATGCTTATCTGGAACTCAGTATCGTGGCTGCTAAGTGAGTACAAAAACATCCTTTATATTTATGCGTCTTTGTTCCTTATAGAGAGTAGAGGAGATGAGCATGGCCTCCAGCTGTTTGTTTTATTTTTATTTGAAAGAGAATAAATTAAAACCCTGATTGCAAATTCCACCAAGTGGAAGAAGCGAACCCCATCCATGTTACAAAGTATCTACTTTTTCAAATACTGTAAGTTATTATTTTCAGTTTTATTTGAGTTTGAAAGAAAAAGACTTCCTTGATGTGCAGAATAAAAATGTCCTATTGCTTATTACAACATTTACTCCTTGGAAGGTTTTATGTATCACTCCTGCACATTAGCAAGTTTCTCTCTATTTTATCTGAAAATTTGATCAATTTTTTTTTTTTTTTATCAGGTTGAAGCCAATTATCGAGGGGGGAAGTCACAGGGTTTGGCCCAGGACTCAGGACCTGCAGCTCAGCGCAGAGCAATCCTACGACCCCAACATGGACCCAGACAACCAGTCTCCACTGTATTATCTATGGGAGTGTGAAACTACATCTAAGGTATTTGCCTAAAAATGTCAAGACTTGTGTGTCAGTGGGTTGCTTATATACAAACAAAACTAGAGCTGCAAGCAGAAAGAATTCCAAGATCATCTGTGGTATATTCCATTCAACTGTTTTTCACGTCCTTTTTTTTCTGTTGCTCATCATTCAACCTGCACTGCTGTTGACTTTGCAAAGGCTTTCCCTTCAAACAGTGCAAGGTCTGTGTTTTGGCCTGAACAGTAATTGAACACATCGCCTCCAGTCTCCCCCAACATTTGACCCGTTCCAGTTCGCCTTCCCATTAAACCGCTCCACTGAGGACACCATCCTCTCTGCTCTCCACCTGAGCCTGGCACACCTGGAGGAGAAGAACACCCACGTGCAGATGCTGTTCCTAGACTTCAGTTCAATTCAATTCAGTTTATTTCTATAGCGCCAATTCACAACACATGTCACCTCAAGGGACTTTACAGTTCACTAGATCATCCAGTCAGATAGATTAATCCAAGTTTTCTATCTAAGGAAAACCAGTTGATTGCATCGACTTAATTGACTTGAATGCAATCCCTCACACTAAGCATGCTTGTAGCGACAGTGGAGAGGAAAAACTCCCTTTAACAGGAAGTAACCTCCAGCAGAACCAGACTCAGTGCCATCTAATGAAGCCGACTGGAGTTCAAGGTGACAGAAGCAGAGATAAAAAGGCAACTGTAAAGGGCGGCCCCATCCAGGAAACACGCAGCCAGACAGACGAGCTCTGAGCCAGCTCCCATCTCAGAGGATGAAGAGAGCACATCCAGCCAGTCACAGTCAGAGAAACAGGACTACACTGGAAAACAGGCCGATCTCCAACATCAGTTCAGCTTTCAGGACAGTCATCCCACAGCATCTGATAGGAAAACTCGAACAGCTGGGCTTCAATACACCCCGCTGCAATTGGCTGTTAGACTTCCACACCAACAGACCTCAGTCAGTCCAGGTTGGACAGAACACCTCTGATGTCATCATCATAAGCACAGGCTCCCCTTAGGGCTGCGTTCTGAGCCCCCTACTGTTTACCCTGATGCCTCATGATTGCGTTCCCAGGTTCACCACCAATCACATCGTGAAGTTTGCAGACGACACCACGGTGGTGGGCCTCATCAAAGACGACAACGACCGAACTATAGAGAGGAAGTGGAGCAGCTGGTGGACTGGTGCAAAGATAACAGCCTGATCCTGAACATGGAGAAGATGAAGGAGATCATTGTTGACTTAAGGAAAAACCGGCCTAACCACGCTCCACTGGTCATCAACAGCTCAGCTGTAGAGGTGGTCAACAGCACCAAATTCCTGGAGGTGCGCATCACTGACAACCTCACCTGGACTGTAAACACTACCTCAGTGGTCAAAAGGGCACAAAAGCGCATGTATTTCCTGCGGAGGATAAAGAGAGCCCACCTGACCCCACCCATCCTCACCACCTTCTAGAGAAGCACCATAGTGAGCGTTCTGACCAGCTGTCTCACTGTATGGTGTGGAGGTTGCAGCACCTCAGACTGGAAGAAAGTGAGAAGAGTGATGAGAACAGCAGAGAAGATCATCGGGGCTCCTCTTCCCTCTATAAAAGACATTTCATCCCAGCCTCGCATGTCCCGAGCCCATAACATCATAAATGATCCCTCACACCCCCACCATGGACTGTTCTTCCTGCTGCCCTCTGGGAAGAGACTTCGATGCAGTCGATAAAGGTCCAGCACATTCCAGAACAGCTTCTTCCCCACCGCCATCAGACAGCTGAACTGTTGAAAAAAACTGAATCATGTCTCAGACTCTGCATCAAACTGACAACACCAAAGCAAAACACTGCAAAACCACACCATATATATCTAATTTTTTCCCATACTGTTTACATTTGATCACTGCTGCACTTTAAAAGATGGAAATGTCATGAGAGCTGTATAAAACTAAATTTAATTTTGTATGCACTCTGTTTATACAAAATGACAATAAAGTTGTCCAAGTCAATGATATTCTAAATTGTAAAACACTCCTAGAGGTTGCAGTCATTTGTTTGTGTTATAATGTTTTGCATATTTTTAACTTAGCAAAAGACTAATGCATTTAGTTGGAAATTTGGATGTGGCCTAGTTAATCTGGTGCAGGACTATGTAGTGATTCTGTACATCTAATGTGAGGTTTAGCATAAGAAAAACTACACTTTTTCTGCATCTGAGTGCTTGAAAGTTTCCAGTTTAAAGCAGCAGAATCAGATGTGGTGGTGAAGAAAAGATAAAGTAAGATGTCAAAGTGGGATACTGTTATCATTAGAATTAAAGTTATTATAGTGTAAAACTTGGACTTTACTTTTTTCATCAAACCAAAAAACTTTGTTTCAGATACAAAATAAGATAAACATCTGTTGAGAAAAGACAAGGTAGCCAGGTGCTTAAGGAGTTCTAATTCATTGAGTTTAGTCTACATGTTTTGAATAATCCCAGAAGCGTTTTAATGCTATATTTTAAATTGCATTCTCCTGGTATCTTTGGAAGGGCTCCTTTCCATCACCATAATCATTATCTTCCTTCATAGATTCTCTATTAGATGGAAATCAGGACTCGAAAATGTTAATATTAGGGCTGCAACTAACGATTATTTTGCAAATCAATGAATTTGTCTAATTGTTTTTTTCAATTAATGGATTAATAATTGCATAGAGTAGAATTTTTTAATGAAATAAAACCACGTAAAACGAAAACTTTTCCACATGAGGAGTTCTGGATAGAGCATATTGAAAGACTAAAAATATTTTTCTATCTAAAATGCAAAATGTTTCTATTTGTTTGGGTTTTTTTTATTTACAATGTTGGTATAATTACTGCTCTGCTTACTGCTCTGTCAGCTAAAAGCATGATTTAGTGTCTGTATACTTCAGTTAACGATTAATCGATTACAAAATTAGTTGACGATTATTGAAATAATCAATTCATTCCAATTAATCCAATTAATTGTTTCAGCCCTAGTTGACCTAATGTCAAAACACACATTTTGAAAATGAAAATATAAATTTTGGGATTAACTTTAAATGCAAGCTTAAAACTCATTGTTGGTTACTTAGGGACTATTTTCCTAAGTGCGGCTGCTTATAATTGCCTGTAAATATTGCATTGTTATCTGTTGAATCAAAGCAGTAAATCACTTTAGACTCTCTTTGTGTTTTTTCTTTAGTTTTTTTTTGTTTTATCTTTGACTTAAGCCCTTGGGTACAACACAAAAACTGTTCGACAAATCTCCGGATTTATTTTAATTCAGCTTGTAAGAGCGAAGAATAACAAAGCAGAGCTGTGATGGACAGAGAAGGACGCTTCGGATAAACCACTGCCTGCTGAGAAGCATTGACGTCAAACAGAGAAAATGTCTGTCAGTGTGTCTCTGAAATGTTAGTTGGTGTTGATTTTCATGTTTTTGGTGTTTCTTGCTGCTTCGGTGGACGGAACTGTGAAGCATTAAGCAGAAAACGAGTAGAATGTGTTCAGTAGAATGGAGCTAAACTCCACAAAAACTAAACTCTTAAGGAAAATGGCCTTAAAGAGTGTGTGTTTGTTTATGTGAGCTGAACACAGATTCAGGCATTTAGATTGTATAACTGTTTGGGGATATAGTCAGCATTCCACAGCCAGTGCTTTTGCTCCACACCCCTAACCATTACGCAGCCCACATTAACGGTGTCGCACACATTCACACGCAGACAGAAAGACACGCTGTTGATAGAGAGGAGTGTGGTGTCAGCCACAAAATTACATTATTTTACAGCTATTATATTCCAATAAGTGTGTTTTTCCATAAGTTAGGGAAAGCTGACTTATTCCAACGACTGCTCTTGCTTGTATTGAAACAAACTGAACTAAGAACTGAAACAACTTTCTGTTCCTAGTTTGCAGACCACTGTGCTACCCTGAACCTCAGCTTTGGCTTAAGCGATCCTGTGTTGGAAATCTCCGGCTCCGAGCTGGAGGCAGATGTTGAGTACACTTTCAAGTTAACTATCAGCAAAGAGGGCATGCCACCAGAGTCCACCACTCAGACTGTAAGTCCATGTGTAAAGTACAAGTGAAAATCATCAGTGTTAACCTTGCCCTGCATTTTTTTAATTAAAATAAACATTTTGTACAGAGTCATGTCTCTTATTGTTATCATTTGGGTTTTGTGATAGGTGCTTGTGCAGAGCGGCTCCATTCCCATGGTGTCTCTGGAGTGCGTGTCCTGCACGGCCCATTCCATTTACGAGGTCAGCCAGAACTTCCGCTTCTTACTCAAAGGAACCTGCAACAACTGCAAGGGATTTCACAGAGGGGTAAAAACACACACATTTTAAATGAAGGCAGAAGCACACAGAGTGTCCTGTGTTGCAAATTTATTTTGCGCTCCCGAAAGAGAAAGGAATCCGTATTTGCTTTTGACACACACTTTTTTTGCCCGACATGACATGTTTTTTTTGTTTTCTCTGGAGCAGCATGGCATGGACAGACAGATTAACCATCACCCTCTAGCAATTTTTCTTCTTCTTTTTTCCTTTCTGGCTACTCCTGACTAGCGATGCACCGATCCGATATTTTTATCGGTATCGGTCCAGATATAAAAAAAAAATAAAATAATCGGTATCTGTGACAATTCACCTGATATAGGGGCAGATCTATTCATTCTGACTCTATGCTATGCTCTGCCGTCACAACACGGCAATATTGCCCAATGGCGTGCAATATTTGTGGGAGAAATTTTTCGAGGGGCGGTGTTAAATCTTCTAACTATAACACGACCAACTTAATGAAACACCTCCAGAAGTTTCATAACAAGGAAAATGCTGAGATTATTGGACTCGGCAAACAAAAAGGAAGCAGCGGGAAGCAGCTAACTTTGATGGAAGCAAAGGAAAGAAGTGAAATATTTTCCACGTTACAGTATAAAGGCCAAAAAAAAAATCACATAGATGATACTTGATAATGGTAATTACACTTTTTTTTATATCTTCATCAAGTCAGAGAACTTTTGGTTTAAGATTTTGTGCACAGTTCTCAAATAAATAAGTCATAACATTTATATTTGGGTTGTTTCCTATTTTATTAAAGAAAATGGAAATCAAATCATATGCACAGAAGAATGATTCCAGTTTTTTGGGGGTTTTTTACACTATAAAACAATTTTTTAGGTAATATTTCAGTGCTGTTTTTGGTATCGGTATCGGCCGACATTAAACTTCAAATATCGGTATCGTATCGGATGTGAAAAAAGTGGATCAGTGCATCCCTACTGCCGACACTAACGTTGACGTAGTGCCCAGATCAGATGTCCCTTAACAAGAGTAGTTAGATGTGTTGTTCTAAACAATAGAATTAATTAAACACATAATGGTTATATTAAACATATTAATAAACTACTGAATATATATGCAGAAAATATGGTCAGGGTGCAACATGTGCTGCCAGTGTGACGGCAGCTTTTCCAGGTCATTTTCTTCCTTCTTACATCTTCTCTTGGGATTTCTGTGTAGTTTTGTGAGGGCTTGAGGTAAATGAGGTCATCATAATCTTGAGTGGAGCCACAGAGGATATGTTATACCTCAGCTAACATAAGGAAACCATTTCAACCTCTGGTTGAGATGCTGGAACTCAGATGTTCCAGACCAGCTGGCTGCTGTCAGCTGAGCAATAATATGGGTCAGTTCTTAAACTCAGCTTTAGTTTCCATTCTGTACACAATTGGCTTTGCTGTTCTTGGCATGAGTCTGAATCAGCTTGGATGTAAAATGATCTGTTTTCTCACGAGCTCCTTGTCCCTCAGGGTTGCTACAAAGTCTGAAAGACAATAGAATATGATTAAAATGTTTTCCACCTCTGAACTATTATGGAAGGATAAAATATAAGATTGAAAAAAATACTTGAATTTACAATCTGTAGTCTCTGTTGCTCGCTCTTGTTGTTCCACGCTCAGCCAACTCTATGATTGTTCAGATTATTTACTGCTTTTTTCCCTGTGTTATTCAGCGATGGAGCGCCATGACGCTGCACAATGAAACTCTGGTCCTGGACTCCTCTTCCACCACCACAGGGAGCGACGGCATGTATCTGGTGCTGCGGAAGGGCGTCCTTAGGGACAAAGTATCCTATATCTTCACGCTGCATGTAACAGACAGCAGTTTGGATGGTGAGGGAGCGGCCTCTTATATACTACACCAAAACATGCCCCCAGAAGGTGGTGAGTGTCACCTTACAGCGGCAGGGGAGGCAGGAATATTGTCAGGGGTTGGAGATGACTGGAGGATCCGGACATTGCTGGACCAAGTGCATTTCAACTGCTCAGGTTGGACTAGAAGGAGGCTTTTATTTTTATTAACACCTTTGCTCTCATTCTGTGTTTAAAAATCTAATAAGTTCATGTTCTCTCTGTGTGCAGGTTACAGTGACTTAGGGGTCTCAGAAACCCCCTTTCTGTACAGCCTGCTGGTGACACGCTGTAGGGAAGACTACTGCGAGGATTTCTGCATTTACAAAGGCAGCAATCCGGAGCACTCAGCGTTCCTCCCACCAGGCTTCCGCTCAGCACGACACCGTGTGTCCGTATCCATCACAGTGGAGGACTACGAGGGAGCTGCCTGTCTGGCACTTAATAAGTAATTACCTTTTGTTTGTTTAAAAGAAAAGACAAGATAATTGGTATTTTAAATCTGCCTTTAGCTTTGGACTTTTAACCACATATTTTTGTGTCTGATCTCTAACATAGAAATTAAAAAGTAAGCAGAACTTATTATTGTTATCAATAACATTATAATCTTTCTTTTGGGACTTTTTTTTTCCAAAAGCTGTTAAGATTGTTCCTCTTTATCATCAAGCCAACTCTAGAAAAGGTCCTTTTGATAGACATTATTTATATGAATCATGTCATCAGACTTTATTATGAACAACTATATAGAATGCAGAGGTGGAAATAAATGGAATAAAAAGCCCCAAAGCTCAGTTCATCAGAATTGTTTTACTTTGTGTTTTTATCCAGAACCATAGAGGTTGTCCTGCCAGATCTGCCCCCAGAGTACAGCAGTCTTCCTCACTGGCTGTCTGAGATCACCGACAGCAAACTGAAGAAGCTGCTAGAGCAAGGAGACTCGCAAAGGGTCAGAGAGTTGTCGCTCGCTCTCATTACAGTGCTAAATGAAGTAAGCAACACTTATTCACCCAGAATGACGTGTTTTTATGACCATTGACAATGTCATTTATATACAGTACAGGCCAAAAGTTTGGGCACACCTTCTCATTCAAAGAGTTTTCTTTATTTTCATGAGTATGAAAATTGTAGATTCACACTGAAGGCATCAAAACTATGAATTAACACATGTGGAATTATATACTTAATAAAAAGTGTGAAACAGGTGAAAATATGTCTTATATTCTAGGTTCTTCAAAGTAGCCACTTTTTGTTTTGATTACTGCTTCGCACACTCTTGGCATTCTCTTGATGAGCTTCAGGAGGTAGTCACCTGAAACGATATTCACTTCACAGGTGTCCCCTGTCAGGTTTAGGGTTGTCACGATACTAAACTTTTCAACTCGATACCGATACTAAGGAAAATATTCGATAC